GCTGCTCGTCCAGGTTGCAGGCGGTCAGGTCCACATCCCACGATCGGATTCCTGAAAAGGAGACGCAGGGAGAGGGGCTGATGATGAGAGATGACACTGGACGCAAGAAGTGCGCTCTGGACCGAGAGTTACAACAAAGGTAGTGGGTGTTTCGGAAACGAGCTGGAAAACTATTCTTGGAAGCAGATTCCCTGGAAACCTTCAAGAAAAGGCTGGATGAAATTAACAGCGTAAAACACAGAAAGGAACTAACAGGTCCAGCTTAGCATCACCGACAGTGTTCTCATCATGCTGAAGGCTGGACTAAGAGCCAAGCCCTCTTTAGGGATGAATCTTCTCCAGACAGGGGAAAACTGCACTGGCAACAGGGACCCCGCAGTGAACTGTGATCATACTGCAGCTTCAGAGACTGGGGCCTGGTTTCCTAGATCTTCAGCCTCATTTGAACTGTGCGCTGCTACCTTGCTTTGAATAGATTTGCACATGCAATTGTACACTGTGCAAATGTGAAAATTGTGCTAAATTCTTAAAAAATTGGTTTATACATTTCTATTGTTGAATTTTACATGGCAGCTCCACCCCAGGCCCGACCCACAGGAGCTGCCCCTCCTGGCTGCGCTCTGGGGGTGAAATAAGGAGCGAAAACATGGAGACTGAAGCAAAGAGAAGACGACAAACTTCTCTTTTAAATCTGTCTCGCTCCCTCGAGTCGCATCTCCAGACAAAGGAGAACTGTTCCTTTCTGGGGAAAAATACTGTTTCTTCTCTGATGAAGCAAGAAACCACACTGACTAATTAAAACTGCCTAGCAACTTCTGCTTGATATCACAGGTTTTAAAAAAGTTCTGTAGCTTAAACTATACAGCAGGGGTCCCCCATCCTGGTCTCCAGGTTTTCACTCCAGCTGGGCTCTTAACGACTCTAGTCAGCTCCTCATTGGCTCAACTGGACGAGTTGACCAGCTTCTCCCAGCTCTTCAGGCGCTATAGAGAGCTAGAAAACCTGGAATGGCCCCTCCAGCACCAGGAATGGAGACTCTTGACAGCACACAGCTGAAACCCCCACCCCCCCGCAGTGGAGGCTGGGGGAGTTTAACTGGATTCACCCGCAGGCAGCAGGTCCAGACAGTCACGAACTGAGAGAGCAACTTCCCTTCAGCTGTCGGCAAACACCGGCACAGCAATGACTGAGATCTCTGCCCTGGAATCACAGGAATAAACGAGACCGACTTCAGCAAACATTTCCTTCTTAAAATGTTGTCCAAGCAGAAGGCCAGGGTGGCACGTGCGCCAGCGATCAAACGAACACGACAAAGCTGAACCCACTGACTGGCCGGACTGCCACACAGCAGCCCAGGGAGCACAAAGACAAGCGGCCTAACCTGAACACTTACTGCACATGTTTCAGCAACTTGAAACACACCAACCATTAAAAAAAATGAAACCAAAAAATGCTCAGTCCTTTATTATTTTAAGCTACATTACATGCAGGATAGCTCAGAATATGACCTTTATTTTCTAAGTGCACACAATATTGTAGGAACACTCTTGCACTGTAAAGCTTTTAGATGAGGGACCCGTCAGCTGAGACCGGGAGAGAAACCTCTCTAACGTCTGAACATGTTTTGTTACGTAATGCTGAAGACCGTAATCAAACGCACATTTTCTAAACAACCTGCAATATTTCTTTCTGAAAAAATAAGTGCTTAGGTATAAACAGATAGTTAATGGGATTAAAGACAATTTAAAGCTTCTAATTTAGACTGAAATGATGGTGTTCCATTAAGGCATTTTAGAGAACAGCAAAATCTACAATTCACAGTGAACAAGATGTTCCAGAGGACCAGGGATATCTAAAGGCACAAAAAAGCTTTGTTATTAGGTTTGTATATTCAAACCATACAGACTTAGGCTCCTGTTCTTCACAGGTTGATAAGCACATTCCCACAGGTGAACAGAACACCTCTGTGGTGTCCTGAACAAGCAGGCCTCAGTCTTCCAGGATATCACTTTGCAATCGCTGGATCCCACACGAGAAAGAGCATCCAGGCTAACAGAGAACTGTGGCAATCGCACCGATACGCCACAGGCTTGTTTCCTGCAATGCAGGATGAAGTCCCACAATTAAAAAAAAACAAATTGGAATCGGCAATTATTTTATTTACACAACACGGAAGAGCCAATAGTGCGTTGTTCTTCTCACATCATCTTGCCACTCCTTACCCTACAGCCCACACGCAGGGCAGGAGAGAGCAGCAGCAGGAGCAGGAAGTGCAGGAAGACTGCCCCCCATGACCCGCCCACCTCCCGCCTTCGAGCCACTCATCTTTCAGCACGACACAGGAAGCACCGCCCCACAATGGAAACTCAAAGCTGACTGGAGGAGAGATGCGTCGCTCGCCAACCTGGCAGGCTGCAGGGGGCGCCAAGAGAGCCCAGGCTAAATAAACCCACCCTGGCTTCGGCTGCACTCGGGCCGTTACAGGGCACTATTTGTCAGTGACGTAACCCAGGCTCTAACTCGCAATCCAAGAGCTGGTCACGGGTTCGGGGAGAACCTGGACAAGTCTGCACCACGAAGCCACACGAAGTGAGAGTGCAGCGGCGCTGTCAGCACAGTGAGTGTGAAAATAAATGCAAATAAATAAAACGCGGCTCTTTAATAATGAAGGGCGGTTTACTGCCTCACTGCGAGCTCCTTCTAGAAAAGCTGGTCTCTGGGGCAGGTGGGATCTCCCAGGATCTGTTAATTGGGGGAAAAGGGGACGAGGACTTGTTTAATCAGTGGCCTCTCCCCAAGGCCTCACACATAACGAGTCTCCAGGCAGAGCACCGCCGTCGTTGTGCTGTTGTTGCACTTACAGAACAATCCTGCTCGACCTAAACCAGACGCGTTTTCATTTCCTTCGACGCCTCCCTGAAGCAGCAGGACGCAGGGCAGCCAGCGGTTTCATGTGGGAAGCACAGGCAGCTCTAGGAGGTTGAAAGGTATAAAAGCCGGCAAGCCAGCGGACTGGGACAGAACTGGGAAGAGCTCCGCCTCGTCGGCATTCCTTTCCTCTCGCGGCCCCTGCTCATCTGCGCCCGTGCCGTGTGGCGCACGCATCGGCAGCAGGCTGGGGGTCCGGCAGTGCTGTCTCCGGGAGTGAGAAGAGAGTTTGCCAAGCCAGCTCTGTCCGGCTCTGTCAAACCCAGAAACTGCCAAGCCTGGGAGGTTTTACCAGATAGGAAAGCACCTTATCCAACAGGCCGGAAACACATCTGAAGTGCCCAGCATTCCACCAGCTGTGCACAGCGGCACCCCCTACAGGCAGAGAAAAATCCCACAGACCATAACAGACGTTGCACAACCCACAGTCACACTGCAACGTCCGGACCACAGAGAGACGCCCGAGATCCCCAGGAGCCCCCAGTTACACTACTGTCCCTCCTGAAAAACACACCCGAGAAGTATAACCCTGTCATTCTCCTTTACTACGCATCAAGAAGGCAAATATTTATTTCACGTTTTTCCCCCATGCGCTCCTCAGTGGAGGATACGGCCTACATCTGATACATTTCTAAACGTGCAAATAAAAGGGCTGATCTTCAGGCAACATCTTCACCACTCGGTCCTTATCGGTTGCTCCTACCACTGAGGAGTTTGAAAACCAGCAGCCTCTCGCCCTTCTTGTTGAGTATTCGTTGCTGTCTGCAGCAGAGTCACCCCGAGCTCCCCTGCTGTAGCCCCCACACTGCAGACAGATGTTTGTTTAACGCTGGTGTCTGGCAAACCTCAGCTGCTCGTTTAAACCATCTGAAAATAAACTCGCAGGCTCTGGTGGGCCGAGGCACAGCACAGCCCTGCAGCTCTTACTAAGGCCAGTGATTCTTCTCCAAGGGACTGAATGCGCTGGCATGGCAGTCTGATAGCTACTGAATCACAGGATATAAAATCTGGGAATAAAACTGTTCTTTCAAAGGAGCCTTAAGGTGCTGGAAGTGTCTCGCAGCAGATTGAACCAGACCCTGCTGCACAGCAGAGCTAAGGGACTGGAGCTGTGCCCTCTTTATTGGCAAAGAGCAGACAGACTGTTAATGAGTCACCTTGCTGAACAGGTGAGCAGGAACAGGTAACACTGCGCTAGCAAGTCTCTGTGGGTGTGTCTCTTCCCAGCCTCCACTGCCTGCCAGGACAGAGTAAACAGAGGGAACGGACTTCGGACACGCACTCCGAACCCCCTGAAGACGGCTCAAACCGCTGCCCACCTCCTCGCTCAATTATCTGCCCAGGCCTTCCTGTGAACGCCACTCGCTGAGCTGAGCACAAGCCTCCCTGCAGCTCTTATCATGCATCAGCGGCTGTGTCACTCAGACAGGGCTGCAACTCCCATCTGGAAGGCGAGCCTTCAGGATTTGCTGAAACTAATGTCCAAACGAGTTCGGTGTTTTCAAATATCACATAGCTTTGATACCAATTATGAATCCCATTTGATGTTTTAAGAGCTGAATGCAAGTTTCCCCAAATACTTCCCAAAAAGAAAACTGAAACCAGTGTATATGTCATTAAGAACAAGAGCAAAAACAAGAGACCGTTCTCCTCCAGTACCAGGGTTGGGATACATGGGGGCTAGTGATCTCCTAATCTAAGGCTCAGATTCAGGCAGGAGCAGAGTCAGTGTCATGTGCACAGACAGGAAGTCGACTGTGATGTCATTCTGTTGGTTGTCTGGAGAAAAAAGGAGGAAGAGAACTAACTGCCTGAAATTAAAGTCAGGTTCATTTCCTTAGCTAAAAACTTCAACAGTAACACAGGGACAGCTCAGGAAGCACAAGAGATCACAGACTGACCAGTAGCCAGTTTCGTTTTCAGAAGAATTTGCGCGCTCTC